CACACACACACACACACACACACACACACACACACACACACACACACAGACATAGGAGGCTTACCTTCCTTAGTGCTGATTATGCTCTTCCTCTCTGCAAGTCCATCATCCATTCGCTGATACCTCGCCCAGGACGCGCTATCATCATCACTTAGTCGTCGACTCGATACTAAGGACCAACCCGAATGATTCGACTGGACATGGGACCGACCCCTTCGGGCGTTGTGCAAGGCCGGAAGGTTCCCGGTTCCATCTCGCAGATAGCACCATCCAACCGACCCCTTCGGCCGTCTGTGACGTGGCACGGGGACCGGGGGCTAGGTCCCACTTACACGAATTAAGAGATATATATTGACCGTAGATAGCACAGATCAACGGTCAGAATCTCGTACTCGTAATCCGTGCAAGTGGGAGCTTGCCCCGGGTGTCCGTCCCCGGCGCGGGCGCGGGAGGCGGAGGGGGAGGGGGAGCGGGGAGAAGGGGAGAAGGGGGCTGTCCGCCGGACGGCTGTTCTCCAGGCAGACCACTCCTCGTGTGTCTGGAAGTAGATCTCGACCAGATACATTCAGGGTGTCGCAATATTTCGAACGTATAAGTGGCATTACCAGGCCTAGATGCATTCAAAATAATGTGCAGTGGAGCGAGGGCCCACGTTTCGCGCCCGTCTTGAATATGGGAAAAATCTGTCGGGTTGGCATCCCCTGATCCTCGGGCGCACGAGATCCCGAGTACAGTCACAATGTTGGATCGGTCTGAGGGCATACTCGCACTGGGACGGTGGGACCAACAGGCATACAAGCCCAGTGGGCACACCCACAAGCTGTTGAAATAAGGAGCTTTTTTCGAATCCAGTGGGCATACGTGGGGCCGCGGTCAGTTTGACGATTTATTTATTTATTTGTTTATTTATTTATTTATTTATTTATTTATTTATTTAGTTTGACGGGACTCACTCAGGGCCGCTGCGCGCAGCGCTGCGTAAGCTGGCCGAGGCGTTGGGCGCAAGGTGCCCGTTTCTAATTTTTCTTGACGTCGCTGCACTGTCTCAGTGTCAGCGCTGTTGGGGGCGGTGCTTGGGCAACGGGGGATCGCACGGGTGTTGTCAAGAAGATGGTGGTGTCGAGCCAGAGCTTGTTGCTGGGGTGGTGGGAGTGTGGGGGATCGAGTGTGTGGGCACTAAGAGGGACACGCTGCAAAAGGGTCTTAAGAGCCCTTGCCATGGACCAGTCCCGGCTGACTGGGGTTAGTAATTCTGTTCGAACGAGGAAGGATGGTGGCAGATGTGTGGACGTTCGACGAGCAGGATTCGAGCATTGCGATTTGCTAGAGTTTCAACTGGTTTATAACTGATTCACACCTGATGAAACTGATCAAGGGCTTAGTCCTTCGGTCTTTGATATGGAGATGTTGCGGGGTTATCCTGTCTATGAGCAATTGTGGGCGTCCTGCGACGAAAATTTGCCAGCGTTGCATGACGATAGAGTGTCGCGGTGCGATGGAGCTGACCGCACGAGTTGTGTTGCTTTGTCGATTTTGTTGTGCTATAGAAACTAGCTGCTGTTATTCAATTTGTCGTGTGGATGAAACAGTGAAAACTAGGGTTGAACTAGCGGGGTTTGCAGCTAATGGAAATTTAGTTTTCGGGATTGCAGACACGAAGAATATGATTTTAGTAATTTGTCAAGTATTTTGTTGTTTAAACTACGGCTTGTTCTACGTCTGCTGCCTTTTGTGTTCTTCGCAGACAATAAGAATTATGTATTAAACAATTGTTGTTTTTGTTGGCTTATAGAAACTAGCTGTTGTTATTGAACCTGCCGTGTGTTGAAACAGTATTAGGGTTGGATGATCGGGGTTTGCAACTATCTGTTAGTTTATAGGTTTGGCGATAGAAATAGTAAATTGCTAGTACTTTATTGTTGAAATTATGGCTCGTTCTACGTATGCTGTCTTTTTTATTATTTGCACATAATAAGAATTATGTTTTCAACGATTATAGAAATTGTGGTTGCTTTGGACGAGGAATAATGTTATGTAAGGAAGATAGTTAGATCGTGGGATTGATATTTTGTAGGTGACTGTCAGTTTATGGTTGGTGGAAACTATGTTTGGACACCTGACTTTTGCAGCTATGGGGAATGAGGTTTTTGGGATTGCAGGTCGTAATGAGAATAGGTTTATGTCTCTTGTTTTATGTCTCTTGTTGATTTTATTGGTCTATAGAAACTAGCTGTTGTTATCGAACCTACCATACGTTGAAACAGTATAAAGTTTGGATGATCGGGTTTTGCAGCTATTTATTAGTATTTTTTTTGGATCTTAGGGTTTGCAGTGACAGAGTGGTCTAATCTTAGGGCTTGACCGGTGATGTCTCGCCCTTCGATGAGGCCACCTTCCTCTTGTGAGGGATCAACAGAAAAATTCCCACGAGAAATGAAAGTTGAAAAAACATTCCATAAAAAAAAAATCCTTCATATTTATAAATTATCATTCCAATGTTTGTCCAATTCTAAAATTTTCAGTTTTATTTGATAAATTCCCGTCCAAATAAAAGTTTTCCCTTCCAACTACATCTATTTGTTCAAGATGGAATGAAAGTCTGCATGAGTTTATGAAATGTTTTAATTATACTTATATTCTACTACAACAAATATCATCTAATTTATATTGGATTAACCTATTTACGACTGAAAATCCTTACTTAGAATGACAGTCCAATTAAAATATTTCATGAACTCATCCACACTTTCATCCCATCTCTAGCATGTAGTTCAAATAAGAAGCGATACCCCATTCTTGGAAGAAAAGTTTTCAAGTAAGACAAAAAAATTTAAAATTTGAATGACTTTAAAAAAAAAATTCAAGTAAGACAAAAAATTTTAAAATTTGAATGACATTTTTTAAACCACCAGTTCACCCAGACTTGTTTCCAGGCCTCTGTAAAATCGTTTCACCAATCCTCCTCTGTTTGGCCTACGGCCTCTGGAAATTGAAACGCTGTACCGGTACCGGGGAAGAGGCTTTTCCAAAAACTGGACCTGAGGTCCAAAAAAAAGGCTGTCATGTTTTTTTTCCTTTTTTTTTTTTTTACTTACTTTTTTTAGTGTTTCCACTTGTTGCAGGGTGCCTCGACTACAGATCCTCTCAGTCGAGCACCCAACTCTCTTTCGTCACCCGGCGCCGGTCGCAAAGCATCACAAGTGACGTGGGGGGAGACAGCCATGAGAGAAATTTTCGATGGAGGCGGCGGCAGTGCTCGCTATGCCAGGCTTATGCCCGCCCCACGTTTCACGAAGTGGAGGGGACGGCTGCCAACGCGCCTGACATAGCCAACCCTTCACCCAACACCGCCCCCCCAGAAACCCTTCACCCAACACCGCCCCCCCAGCCCCCCTCCCCAACACACACACACACACACACACGCGAAAAAAAAAGAAAAAAGAATCTTTCCCTCGTATGTGGAAAGATGCAGAGCCATGATTTTTACTCCTCCTACTGTCGGGGTTCAACCTATTGAGCAGTCGGTGACGAGGCAGACGTTACAGGCTGGCACAGTCATGCTTTTCATTGACAGCACAGAGAAAACGACAGCACACACAGACACGTACACACGTAACCACACATAAACACATACAGATAGATAGATAGATAGATAGATAGATAGATAGAGAGAGAGAGAGAGAGAGAGAGATTACTACATTAGGATCGTGTGTGTGTGTGTGTGTGGGCGCGCCTAGACCGTACGAAAAAACAAAAAAAACAAAAAAAACAAAACCCTACATGCCCACTGCCGAACAGAGGGCGAACAACGGACTTTTCGCGGCTGTTCTGGTGTCTCTGGTGAGTTCTCTCTCTCTCTCTCTCTCTCTCTCTCTCTCTCTCTCTCTCTCTCTCTCTCTCTCTCTCT